AAGAAAAAAAACCCGATGCGAGTACGCAAAACAACTAAATAAAGTTCTCAATACAATGAGTAGAGCAGACCTAGTTAAACCTAGAGAGCCAGACAAACCTACCAAGGTTTCACCTAAGCGGATCGTCAGAGAATGTTGTCTCCAGCATTCCCTGACGATCCGCTTAGGTGAAACCTTGTAGGTTTGTCTGGCTCTCTTTATATATATATATATATATATATATATATATATATATATATATATATACATACAGTTGTGGACATAATTATTCGTTACCACTAAATTATTCGTTACCACTAAATATTTGCATATTTCTTATGGGAATGCGAAATATTTACATACTGAATTTACCTTAAATAGTTGATTCCGTTTTTAGTTTTAAATAATTCGAGATTTCGATCTGTTGTATTCATAGTTATAGATTTTCCGAGTAATTGGTGCAGTTCAAAATTATTCACCCTCTCTTTATGGAAATGATGAAATAATATTGCTTTATAGCAATTGTAATGTTTTTTTTTTTTTCTTAATTTGACATTTAATGCAAACACCCATTGAAAATGAAATAGCTGATTCTATAACATTCTAAAAGGTAAAGGAGAAGATAATATGTGAGTGCCACGTACTGTGATAACGCGTTGGTTCTGCAACCATGGCGAAGAGGGCTGAACTTGACAAGATGCTCCGAATTGAAAGGAAAATTGTTAGAGATGTCTCAAAGAATCCTCACTTAATGACAAAGGACATTGTCAATAATGTAAAAACATCAGGTTTGAATGCATCGACAAAGACAATCACTAGATGCTTTCATCGAGCAGGACTTCGAGCTTGTCGCCTAAGGAAAACTCCCTTGCTTAACGTGGGAGCAAATTATTGGAACCCCGTTTTATGGTAAAATGAAGCCAAATTAGATTTATTTAGTCACATGAACTCCCGTTATGTATGGAGGAAAGTGAATGAAGTTCACGAACCAAAAAAATACCCTCCCTACAATTAAGCACAGTGGTGGGAGCATTCTGCTGTGGGGGATTTTTTGCTGATTCTTGACGAACGGAACTAGTGAGTGTAGAGGGTGTTATGGATAAAGAGCAGTATTTGGCTATTCTTCAAAAATAATATAAAACAAAGTGCACGAAAGCTGTCTTTGGGGCGTTACTGGACGTTCCAACATGACAATGACCTGAAGCACACGGCACGAATTATTACAAAATATTAGGTTGGTGCAAAAATAATTACGTAATAATGTCGTTTTTTGATGTTAAAAAAATACGTCAAAAAGCGACATTATTACGTCATTATTTTTGCACCAACCTAATACTTAGATAACAGCAAAATTAAAGTCGTTAAGGACACATGGCACAGTGGATAAAGGCGTTATTTAGATCCAGTAACAGGACCCAAAGATTTTTGAGTTCAATACCTGCTTAAGGCAGTGGAGAACTTGGAGAGGAAAATTAACAGGTGTTAATTGATAACTGACATCCATTAGAGATGGCACGTGGAACTAGAACAGTCTACTCCAGCGAGCGAAATAAAGGGTTCAGTTCGACATTCCAACCACCTGAAGAAGGCCGGAGCGTACAACGGCTGAAACGTTGTGATAAATATGGCAACAAAGATGAGGATGATAGTCCGAGCAATGTAAATAGTGTACATAATACGTCATCTCAGAAATATAGACAGCAAAATTAAAGTATTGGCGTTCCCCGCACAAAGTCCTGACCTAAACACCATTGAACATTAAAGGCATATTTTGAAAAAAAAAATAACAGAAATAATTCTTTGAATTTAAAGAAACTAGAAGATATCGCCAAGAAAGAACTGAGCAAATACCTATGAGTGTGTGTATTGATCTTTTAAGGAACTATCAAAAAGGATTAAAGGCAATAATCAAGAATAATGGTTACACAAGGGATTATTGAGGCCTTGTCCCATGTTAAATGATTTTTGGTATTTTTATTTATCTTATAATAGAATAGTGAACATTGAAGTTAACACTCAGAAACGACAGACTGTGTCCTGCTAAATGCAATCAACAAGCCACCCAATCATCAAGGTCACATGATGATTGCATCTAGGATGAAACAGTCTGTCGCCTCTGAGTGTTGACTTCAGTGTTCACTTTAATATTTACATACGGTCTATCTCTGATATTGAGCACTTTATCCCATAAATATAGTATAACTTAAAACCATATTTCTTGACACACTCACACAAACACACACGCACATATATATAAATATATTTCCTTGTGATTTTATAAAATGTTTATGTTATAAATTTTCTAAATAAATAATATATATATATATATATATATATATATATATTATGAAATTTATCTGTTTTATAATAAAACAGTATTTTCAGGTCGGTATGTAGTTAATATATAGTTAATATAGTTTATTACGAAATAGAGTATTTATTTAAATATCTATCTATCTATCTATCTATCTATCTATATATATATATATATATATATATGTGTGTGTGTGTGTGTGTGTGTGTGTGTGTTTTGAACAATAAAAATATTAAAAAATGAAAATCTTTAGATACACTGGGTTGTATATTAATATTTTTCGTTTTTACTATTTCAGTTAGATTTCTCGACTAGTTTCGGCAAACATGGCCATCATCAAGAGAAAAAATATTTTCTGTTTGCTAGTAGAAGTGAACTACAGAAATGAATCACTTGATGTAGAAAATGTACTTTATCTGTAGTTTTCATTTGTTTTTTTGGGTTTTTTTTGTTTTTTTAACATGAATTTTATTCAGTCCTTGTGTTGGTCAAACAGTCTCTTTTAAGTTGTTATTTAAGATAAGAGCTGGATGGATTCATGCTGCTCTGAATTTCCTTGGTCATTTTTCCCCATAGTATTTACCCCTCCTCCTCAATATTAATTATTGTAATAAAAATAAAGATAAATTTTAAAACTCTCCCTTCCCTCTCTAAACTGGACCATGTCTCTCCCACTATTCCTCACCACCCTCTATATCACCTTATATGAGCTTAATACTGCCCTTCAAAAGTTTAAATTTTAAATTCATTTTTCGTTTCACGTTTGAAAGTAAAGTTTGAAGATCCAAAGAAAAATAAAAGTCTCTGGTGAAATAAATTATAACTAATGGAGCCTTAATGTGATCTGTTTTCCTTTAAAATATATATATATATATATATATATATATATATATATATATATATTAGGTTGGTGCAAAAATAATGACGTAATAATGTCGTTTTTTAGACGTATTTTTTAATGTCAAAAACGACATTATTACGTCATTATTTTGCAACCTAATATATATATATATATATATATATATATATATATATATATATATATATATGTGTGTGTGTGTGTGTGTGTGTGTAATAAATATACATATTATCCCTTACCGTTAGCACGACTCGGAGTTTCATGTACAACTTAATAACTCTGTTATATAAGATCGAGCACTGTTTTATTAACACCAGCACTATATGTGCGATATATAATATTATTATTCATAGAGTTCAAAAGCCTCTCTGAGTCCTTGTGGGTGATGAATTATTCTCGGGTGGTGCAAGTCCATGGCTGCTCTACTACTACTTCCATGGAAAGTGCTCGGACGAACTATATTCCCTGGTCCCGCCAATGCCAACCTTCATGGCAAGCACATTCCATGCCACTTACATAGTAGCAAACCATTCATATTCCCTCCATACTCCATCGGTGAGAAGTAAGATCCACTGGAGCAGCAAACCACAGGACTATAGAATCGAATCCCAACAGGATGTTTCACCGATCTCTACAATCTTAACCTAGTCAAGGGTAGGGTTAATCGATATTTCCTCTTCTATACACACAAATGGCCTCTAATGTAAGCCTTTATCTCGAGTGGGCCCTGAGCTTTGTAAAGAGTGACCCACACTGTAATATATATATATATATATATATATATATATATATATATATATATATATATATATATAAGGCTCAAATACTAATATTCCGTGGTTACAATTTATTACATTGGGATCGTAATTACGATTCAATTAATCAGACCTACTAATTCAAAATAAATCGGAAAATATAACTCCGGGTAATATATATATATAGTTATATTTTCCGATTTATTTTTCGCGATTACGATTCCAATGTAATAAATTGTAACCATATATATATATATATATATATATATATATAATCGGAAAATATAACTCCGGAGTTATATTTTCCGATTTCTTTTTGAATTTGTAGGTCCGATGAGTTGGATCGCGATTACGATTCCAACTTAATAAATTATAACCATGGAATATTACTGTTTCAGCCTTTTATATTATATTCTTACTCTGCCCTGGACATTGAGCTCTACCTTGATTCTATCCTCTTGAAAAATATATATATATATATATATATATATATATATATAGACGCCAAATTTTAATATACGTACCCACAAAACACGCGTTGTGTCAAAAGGAAGATTTTATCTTGACACTGATATTACTGTGAAGTCCATCAACAACTCTTATTGCTTTAAAAATTTATTTTTAGAATTTTTTATAAAATCCAAAGGTAAGAATTTGAATATATATCATTCTTTTCTTTCTAAAATGAACGACTAATGTATTAAACGGCATTCTTATTAATAAACAAACAAATAAATAATTAGCGTTTAACATGTTTGTTGTCAGTTTTCCAGAAACAAGTAAAAATCTAGCTGCTATAAACTGTTTTAGTGAATTTATGTGACGATACCAAATAAATTAAATGCCAGGAAAATATATTTTTTTAATTTATAATAGCGATTACTTGTCGTTTATTTAAATTTTCTTGTTCTTTGTACACAGACTTTGTTATAAATTTATGAATGAAACAATTAATTTTTTAAAAAAATGAGGGATGTCAAACACGAGCATCAACTAAATATAAAGTTTAAAATAACAAGAAATACATGAAGGTATATGTGCGTGTGTATACAAGTGCATGCTATCTATTTGTTTATTCCTATTCCTATCCCAG